GAGGTAAGGGATCAAATTTTTCGGTTTACACTTATTGGAAATACACACAACTTGTGTTGTGAGTCTTAACACTTATATTTGAAACCGTAAATTAATATGGGGAAAAAACCTAATTGGTTTTAAATGATTTGGGTCATAAGAACAATGCTAGAATTTTATATGAGTTGTTTTTGGATAATTTTTATTTTTAATTCGATGATTTCATATTTGTTAACAAAATTTTATCTAAATACATGATACATAAAAATAAAAAAATAATAATCAAATACTGTATAAACCTAGTGAATACTGATATATATAATGTTATATACTGAGAAGTGGTAATAATTTGAGACACGTTATGTGTGTAATAATAGTATTCACATTGTCTTTTCAAAATAATAATGTAATGATATTAGATATTGGACGAAATTTATTCTACATTACGAGAAGATGCTGCCAACAATTCAATAAAATTTTACATATTTGAAAAACGTACTGCAAAAGAATTTAATGTCTTTAAGCGGGATATCGGGTTTAAAATTGAAAAAATTCCGGGTACGTTAAATAATAACAATTATTAGATATTGTAAAATGTATATGTAAATTGTGACAAGTAATCAATTTGCCTTTTTACAAAAATTATTATCGATAAGTAGAGCGTTTTTTTCCAACACCTTTGAAGATTGCTTATAATATTATGCAGAAGACGCCTGTAATGATAGTTAGCAAGAACAAGTTAAACAAATTCATGTAACGCTTATATCTTAATTTTCTAAAAAATTATGTTACAAAAAATTGTTTTCATTACGGTTACACGAACTGTAATAAACATTGAAGTATGAATTTTATGACATGCACCATGAAATTTTAATTAAACACGATTTTAGACTATTTAAAAACTGAACAAGTGGACCAACAAAATAATTGTTTTTAACTGGCATATAATAATACCCGTTTTGCCCAAATATTGTACACAAAAATGCATTAATAATATATGCAACTTATTAATTCATTACAGCATAATTTAGTTTTGTGACTTTTAATATCAACACTTTATAATCATTTCTAGATGGTATTGATATGTCAAAAGAGGAATTCAAAAATATAATGAATGCAAAAATAGAAAATTTAACTGATGAGGTAATTTTCGTTTAAATTTTTTATCTTATAATATATATATTTGCAATTAATTCCGCGGTGTACATAGATAACATAACTTACAGTATAATATAAAAAAAAAAAAAATTATACACTAAAAGTAGGAATTTTTAATACGTGTAACCCTCATATAAGCTATTATCTTGTGGTGGAGAGTACGACTTAAGTATTGAATTATGAATTATTTTAATATCTAAATATGTGATACATTAAAAAAAATTATAGGTAATAATAAAATAATTTATAAGCCAAGTAAATAATATACTAGAGATATTTCGAGATACAACAATTCTTAAATTCTAGTATTCATAATTTATATTAAAAATAAAATTAAAATTTTTTTAGCATCTTGAAATAATTTTTAAAAGAATAATATACAGATATAAAGGATGTGTTACCAAGCTTTCAGTACAAGGCTATTTATATACGAAAACCATAGGATCGAATGATATACTATCTATACAGGAAATCGAATATGGAACTAAAAGTTTGCCGTCGGGTACGTTGATTAATAATAATTTAGTCACATATACATTATGGGAATAACCAAAAATATTATGCAGAAATCGTATGTAAAGATATTTAGGAAGAACAAGTAATACAAATATAAACCGCTTTCATCTTGTTTTCTTTATACTAATTGTAAATATTATTGGAATGTTAATTTTCGAAATTCCTATACATTTTTTTTTTAAGTACGATTTTAAATTATTTAAAAACTAAACAAGCGGAAAAACGTCATTGTTGTTTTTATAATACCCGTTATGACCAAATATTGTACAAAAAAACGCATTAATAATAAATTCAACCTGTTAATTCGTTACAGCATAATTAAGTTTGGTAACTTTTAATATCAACACTTTATAATAATTTCTAGATATTCGTATGTCAAAAGAGGAATTTAAAGAATTAATGCAAGCAAATATTAAAAATTCAACTAAAGAGGTAAATTTACATTTCATATTTTATCTAATAATAAATTTATTTGCAATTAATTCCGTGGTGTGCGTAGATAATATAACTTACAGTATAATATAAAAAAATAAAAAGTTATACACTGAAAGTAGGAATTTTAAAGTGTGCAACCCTCCTATAAGCTAATATCTTGTGGTGGAGAGTTGGACTTATGTTTTGAGTTATGTATTCTTTAATATATAAACATATGATACATTAAAATGAATTATAATAATTAAATAATATATAAACCTAGTAAATAATACACTAGAAATAATTCGAAACTAAATATTTCTAAATTAGTAGTATTTGTAATGTGTGTTACAAATAAAAATATAATTTTTTTAGCAACTTGAAAAAATTTATGAAGTAATACAAAAAGATGATAAAGGATGTGTTACCAAGCTCTCAGTAAAAGACTACTTACATAAGAAAAGCATTGAATGGAAGCATATAATATCTAAACAGGAAATCGAATATTTAACTAAAAGTTTGCCGTCAGGTACGTTGATAAATAATAATTTAGTAAAATATGTATTATGTGAAAAACTAATAATATTATGCAGAAATCCTATGTAAATATAGTTAGGAAGAACAAGTAATACAAATAAAAACCGCTTTTATCTTGTTTTTTTTAGACTAATTATAAATAATATTTAAATGTAAATTTTCGAAATTCTGATGAATTTTTTTTGAAATACGATTTTAAATTATTTAAAAACTAAACAAGCAGAAAAACGTCATTGTTGTTTTTAGACGGCTTTTAATCATACCTATTATGGCCAAAAAATGTACACAAAAACGCAATAATAATAATAAATGCAACAAATGTTAATTCGTTGCAGCGTTGTACATTCGTTAATACGTTTGGTAATTTTTAAGATCAACACTTTAAATTGATTTCTAGGTATCTCTATGTCAAAAGAGGTATTCCAAGAATCAATGAAAACAATAATAAGGGATTTAACTAATAAGGTAATTTGAAATTTTTTTTTATCTAATATTATATTTATTTGCAATTATTTCTGTGGTGTACGTAGATAACATAACTTACGGTATAATATAAAACAATGTAAAAACAAATATAAAATTATATACTTAAGTTAGGAATTTGTAATATTTGCAACCCTTCTATAAGCTAATATCTTGTGGTGAAAGGTTGGACTTATGTATTAAATTATGTATTTTTTTAATATGTAAATATATGATACATTAAAACAAATTGTAATAATAAAATAATCTATAACCTAGTAAATAATATACAAGAGATAATTTGAGACACAATATTTCTAAGATAGTAGTATTTGTAATGTGATTAAAAATAAAAATAAAATTCTTTTAGCAACTTGAAAAAATGTATGATGTAGTACAAAAAGACGATGAAGGATATGTTACCAAGCTTTCAGTAGAACACTACTTACATAAGAAAAGCATTGAATGGAAGTATATACCATCTAAACAGGATATCGAATATTTAACTAAAGATTTGCCGTCGGGTACGTTGATTAATAATAATTTAGTAAAATATACATTATGTGAATAACTAATAATATTATACAAAGATCGTTAGGAAGAACAATTATTACAAATATAAACCGCTTTTATCTCGTTTTCTTTAGACTCTTTGTAATTCATATTGATATGTTAATTTTCGAAATTCCCATGAATTTTTTCGAAGCACGATTTAAAATTATTTTAAAAACTAAACAAGCGGAAAAACATCATTGTTGTTTTTAGGTGGCTTTTAATAGTACCCGTTATGACTAAATATTGATCACAAAAACGCAATAATAATAATTACAATCTGGTTATTCGTTACAGCATAATTTAGTTTGTTAAATTTTAACATAAATCATTTCTTAATGTTTTATAGATATGTGTTTGGCAAAATCACGATTTAAAGACGAAATAAAAAGAGATGAGGTAATTTTAAATTTATTCTATTGAACTATATAACTCATTAAAAAAGAAATACCGCTAATTTAATAAATCTAATCCGAGACTAAATGATTTCTACATAATAGTAGCATTCACATTGTGTATTAAAAAAATTAATAATGTCTGTATTTACCTCATTAGCAATAACTTGAAAAAAATATTTATTGAAAAATGTATTCTAATTATCTAGTACATTAACGAATTACAAAAATGAAATACTCTAGTGAATAATATACAGGGAAGTAGCAATAATTTGAGACACATTATTTTCGTAAGAATAGTCTTTACATTGTGTATTCAAAAAAGTTACGGTCTACTTAAAGCATTACAGCTAAACTAATAAAACATGCTTAAGTCTGCTGGCTCTTGAATATTGATTATTTCCTATCAATAATCTCCTTGCGATATATGATGATAGTATAGTCTTAATTTTATGCTGTCGTCCAATGGTTTTTAGTAGTTTTTTATTATTTCGCATTAATCGGTTGGTTGGCAACATTCAACTGAATTAGTTATTTTGAATAAATTTAATTGTGCTTATTGTGAAACAATTTAAATTTTTTTGGATAAATTTTTGGTTACCCATTTTATAAAATTGCCATTATATGGATTTGTACCTTTCAATCTATATAAAATGATCTATTATATAAAATATGGCTGAGAATAAGTAATTAATACGTTTTTATACAACAATAAAATAATTTAGGTTTTTGATGCACTGAATATATGTATTATCATATAATAATTGTCCAGACCTAAAAACCTAAAAGATTTGTCTCAAGACATTTTATACACTTATAAATATATACATATATACATATTATATAAAAAAGGAGCCGCTAGATCACGCCACTTTTGCGTTACTATCGTGACGCTATTTTGTGTCGTTTTCGAGCTGAGAGGCCAAGGCTAAGCATGCTCCATTCTAATACAAAATATAATGGTTTTAGATATTGGAAGAAATTTATGCTGGCGCTCAAAGTTATTTGGCTAATGATTTGAAACCCCTTTCTGAATGGCTCAAAAGTGGAACGTTTTATAGGTCTACCATAATACAAGGTGTGTTGGACTACATAAATAAAGAAGAACTAGCGAGCGAACATAAAAGTAAACTAAGTTCCATAACCAATGAACAACTAATGGATGTAACAGAAACATTGCCGGAGGGTATGATGAATAATAATAATTTGTTAAAAGATATTGTAAAATATATATGTGAATGTGAATAACTAATAATCACTTTGATGTTTTATACAGGGTGTTCCACCATGGAAGGTTATATTAGGTCTAATAGGTGATTAGACATCTAGGGGACCCCAAAATAAGCCCCTCGTTTTCAATTTTTTGATAAGTCAAAAATTGAAGATTTCGATAGTTCCATAACCTTTGAACAACTAATGGATGTAACAGAAACATTGCCGAAGGGTATGATGAATAATAATAATTTTCACCTCGTTTTCATTTTTTTGATAAGTCAAAAATTGAAGATTTCGATAGTTAAGTAAAAAAATAATGACATTAAAAAAAAAATATATTCCCTGTTTATCAGTACAAAAAGCTCACCTTAAAAAAGGGATCACATCATTTTCAGTCCCTTTCGGCCCCTAACTAAAAAAATAATAAGAGTAAAATGGTTAGAGACCAGAAACAAATGATAAGTGATAAAAGATAAATGCTAAGAAATAATTGCTATAAGATAAAAGAATAAAGATAAAAGAAAAGAGATAATTGATAAGAGATACATTATGAGAGATTAGAGATAAATGATAAGACATTAGAGATAAATAATTAGAAACAAGAGATAAGAAATAAATGATAAGATATAATTGAAAAGAGATAAATGATTAGAGACTAGAGGTAAGAAATAAATGATAAGATAAGTGATAAGAGAAGAGTTAGGGGCTGAAAAAGACTGAAAATGATGTGACCCCTCTTTTAAGGTGAGCTTTTTGCACTGAATAACATGGAATTATTTTTTGGTTTTTTTAGGTCATTAATTATTTTATTTAACTGTCGAAACCTTCAATTTTTTATTTATCGAAAAAAAAACGAGGGGCTTATTTGGGGGTCCCCCAGATGTCCAATTACTTATTACTTACCTTTTATGCTGGAAACCCTGTATTAAATATTACCGGTAGGTAGTGTTCTTTTTTATAACATTTCTTAGGAGTACTTATAGTGTTTTGCAGAAACACGATTTTAAATTATTTAAAAAGTAAACGAACGAAAAAACATCATTATTGTTTTAGATGACTTTTAGTTATACCCGCCGTGGCCAAATATTGTATATAAAAAGGCAATAATAATAAATGCTACCTTAGCGGGTTTTCCAACATTTTTGAGTGGTGCTTATAATATTATGCAGAAGTCGTCTGTAAAGATAATTAGGAAGAACAAGTTATACAAATAAAAAAACGCTATACATTTTTTTTTTGATAATTTTAATTATTATATAAATATTTATTTTACGACATTCCCATAATTTTTTTTTTTTAGACACGATTTTAGATCATTTAAAAATTAAACAAGTGGATAAACCAAATTATTGTTATTGGATGGCATTTTATAATACCCGTTATAACAAAATATTGTACACAAAAACGCAATATTAATAAATACAACCTGTTAATTCGTTACAGCATAATTTAGTTTGGTAAATTTTAATATCAATACTTAATAATGATTTCTAGATATTCGTATGTCAAAAAAGGAATTAAAAGAATTAATAAAAAAACCAAAATTTACTGATGCGGTAAATATGAATTTTTTTCTATTTAAATGTATCTAATTAAAAAAAAAAAAGGTATGTTATTAACCTATTTCGACACAAAATTATTTCTATAACAGTAGTATTAACATTGTGTATTAAAAAAATAATATCTGAATTTATTTTAATGGCAATAACTTAAAAAAAATACTTGTTTGAATACATAATACATTAAAACAGAATTATAATTATTAAATACTCTATAAACCTAGTGAATAATATACAGATTAGTGATATTAATTTGAGACACGTTATTTCTCTAATGATAGTATTCAATATTCACACTGTGTATTCAAAAAAAAAAAATTGTATTCATTTTAGCAATTAAACGATATTTATGATGCGGTACTAGAAGATGCTAAGTCTTCATATCCAGTTAAATTTTGCATAATTGAGAAATTCGAAGATAGGAAACATGTACTACTTGAAAGCCATTTGACATGTAGCCAATTTCCGGGTACGATGATTAAAAATAGTTTAGTATAATATACATACGTCGACGCCTAAGAACCATTATGGCCTATCTCAAAAAATTTTAAACTTTATTTAATAAACCAATGCTATTGTATTATCAAGACGCGTGAGACTGAGTTATTAGTTTCAATGTCTGACATCAAGAGGCGGCTGTATGTAATCAAATGTCATCAGGGCCTCTATAGAACTTAATGATAGCTGTGATATGTATGTTTTTTGTTCCTCCTGAAAATTTAGAAAATCTGAGATAGGCCAAAATAGTTATTAGGCGGCGATATGTAAATAATTAATAATCACATTGATGTTCAACATAAATTATTATCATCGATAAGTAGTGTGTTTTTTTAGGGGCTTATTTGGGGGTCCCCCAGATGTCCAATTACTTATTACTTACCTTTTATGCTGGAAACCCTGTATTAAATATTACCGGTAGGTAGTGTTCTTTTTTATAACATTACTGAGGAGTACTTATAGTGTTTTACAGAAACCTGATTTTAAATTATTTAAAAACTAGACAAGCGGAAAAACATCATTATTGTTTTTATATGACTTTTTAATAATACCATTGATTATGTATTGATTATGTCTATTACATAATCAATGGTAATACCCGTCGTAGCCAAAAAATGTACACAAAAACGCAATAATAATTAATTAATCCTGTTAATTCATTTCATAATACTATAGTTTGTTAAATTTTAACAATGAACATTTTTAAAATGATTTCTAGATATTCGTTTGCCAAAAGAGGAATTCGAAAAATCAATGAGATTAAACAAATTTGAATTACCTGATATGGTAATTTTACATTTTTGTTGTATCTAAAAATATATTTATTTGTAATTAATTCCGTGTTGTACGTAGATAACATAACTTACAGTATAAGATAAACAAAATTAAATTAAAAAAAAATTAATACTAAAAGTAGGAATTTGTAATATTTGCAACCCTCCTATAAGCTAATATCTTGTGGTGGAGAGTTTGACAGTGAATGCACAACAACACAAAATATACAAATTTACAAATTATATTACATATAAAAAAATTATACAATTACAATAACATCTAAATTGATGTGTTTCAACTTTCAAATACAATTTAAAATGTTTTATCTCATAAAAATCAGGTATATTAATTTTAAGAATCCTACATATTTTAATTGCTACAGGAATAGAACTTTTTGCAACAAAATGTTCTTTGAATTTAGGAATATTTATATTTATATTATCTTTAAGATTCAACAGATCGTTTATGTATATAATAATAAGAAGAGGTCCTAGAACCGTACCTTGTGCTACACCACATTGTACCTCGAATGGCATACCTAAATAATTATTAACCCTAACTATTTGTTTCCTACTTGATAGATATGAATTTAATACGTTAATACATTTTTCTTCTAAAACCTCCGTAATGTTATTTCTTTAAAGGTAATTTATTATTTATAAAATCAAATGCTTTTTTGACAACTATTACTAGAACATTAAAATTACAAACAACTATTTTGTTTATAAAAAATTTAAGTTAAGTTCTTATGACCCATATCATCGTTGAACCAATTAAGTTTTTTTTTGCTCTTCATTTACGACTTGAAACGAGTAGTTTGCTGAAAACTACCTACTTTAATGACCCCAACACTAATGTGACTAAACAACAATTTTCCAAATTCGTGAAATACTTACTTATAAGTTAGTAGAATATCTGATAAAATTATTAAGATGGAGAAATTATTCTAACATCAGTGGTAAGGGATCAAATTTTTTGGTTTTCACATATTGGAAAGATACTCAATTTGTGTCGTGGGTCTTTTTCCACTTATGTTTGAAACCGTTGAATTTTATTCTTTTTTTATTGTTATTAAGGACCTATCAAGAATGTATGATAAGATTTTCAAACATTTCTGAAGTATAGTTGCACACCATTCGATGATTTCACGTGGAATGACCAATTACCAGTCATTTTCATACTTAATACCATGCGCTAAAATCTATTTTTTTATTTTAAGTGATTTCAATTCAACTATTAATACTCTAGAATTAACTCCCGGGGTATTTTTGCTATATATAATGATAATATCTGAATTTACTTTCTCAACAATAACTTCAACAAAATATTTGTTAACAAATTTTAGAGGAGGAGGAGGAGTGGCCGAGTGGGTAAGGCGGCAGTGTGTTAGCGCTCACTGTCGCCGGTTCGACACTCGGTCACAGGCACTCCGTTTGCTGGGCGAGCAATCGTCCGGTAAAAAGGAACCGCCATCCCCCTCTCCGGCGACGGATTGACGACCCGTCCCGGAAGCGAATTCGTCAAGAAACCATCTTGATGGCAGCGTTGGGCCTTAAAGGCCCGTTAAGCTTGATTTAAAAAAAAAAAAATTTTTATATAAATCAGGACGCATTAAAAAACAATTATAATAATAAAATACTTTATAATCCTAGAGATTAATGAGATATAATATACTGTTATAAGCTGAAAAATGGTAATAGTTTGAGACAAATTATATCTGTTATAATAGTATTCACACTGTCTATAAAAAAAAAAAATAATGTTTTTAGATATTGGACAAAATTTATTATACGTTACAAGAAGATGCTGCCGAAAATTTAGTTTGTCAATTGTACATAACTGAAGGAAACCTTGCAAAAAATAAAGTTCCAAAAATAGATATCGAGTTTAAAACTAAAAAAATTCCGAGTACGTTAAATAATAATAATAACTATTAGATACTGTGTATTAGAAGAGTGCTTATAATATTATGCAGAAGTCGCTTGTAATGATAGTTAGGAAGAACATGTTATACAAATACATGTAATGTTTTTATCTTAAATTTCTAAAAAATTATGTTACAAAATAATTTCATTATGGTTAGACGAGTTGTAATAAACATTGAAATAGTCATTTTATGACATTCGCCATGAAATTTTAATTAAACACGATTTTAGACTATTTAAAAACTGAACAAGTGGACCAACAAAATAATGTTTTTAGACGGCTTTTAATAATGCGTTACAGCATTGTACATTCGTTAATACGTTCGGTAATTTTGAACATCAACACTTTAAATTGATTTCTAGATATCTCAATGTCAAAACAGGAATTTCAAGAATCAATGAAAACAATAATAAGGGATTTAACTGATGAGGTAATTTTACATTTTTTTATCTAATAATATATTTATTTGCAATTAATTCCGTGGTGTACGTAGATAATATAACATACGGTATAATATAAAACAATGTAAAAACAAATATAAAATTATATATACTAAAGTTAGGAATTTGTAATATTTGCAACCTTCCTATAAGCTAATATCTTGTGGTGCAGAGTTGGACTTAAGTATTGAATTATGTATTATTTTAGTATTTAAATATATGGTACATTAAATAAAATTATAATAATTAAATAATCTATAAACCTATTATACACATTATTCGACACATTATTTCTAAAATAGTAGTATTTCTAATGTGTATAAAAAATTAAAATACAATCATTTTAGCAACTTAAAACACTTTATGAAGCAGTACAAAAAGACGATGTAGGATATGTTACCAAGCTCTCAGTAAAACACTACTTACGTAAGAAAAGCATTGGATCGAAGCATATACTATCTGAACAGGAAATCGAATATGTAACTAAAAAATTGCCGTCGGGTACGTTGAATAATAATTATTGAGTAAAATATATGAAATATATTGTAAAATGTAATATATATGAATAACTGATAATATTATGCAGAAATCGTTAACAAAGATAGCTGTTAGGAAGTATAAGTTCTACAAATATAAATCGCTTTTATATTTTTTTCTCTAGACGAATTGTATCTAATATTGAAATTCCCATACATTTTTTTTCAGACACGATTGTAGATTATCTAAAAATTAAACAAGCGAAAAAACAAAATAATTTTTTTTTATGGCTTTAAATAATACCCGTTATGACCAAATATTGTACACCAAAACACAATATAAAAAATTGCAACCTGTTAATTCGTTACATAATAATATAGTTTGTTAAATTTTAACATATATACTTTTATGATGATTTATAGATATTCGTATGTCAAAAGTGGAATTTAAAGAAATCGTGAATAAACAATCTTTCAAATTTACTGATGTGGTAAATATGATTTTTTTCCATCTAAATAGATGATTTATTAAAAAAAAAGAAAATTATAATTATGTAATACTCTATAAAGCTATACTGGTATCATTTTGAGACACTTTTATTTATGTTATAGTAGTTCTCTCATTCTGTATTAAAAGAAAAATGTAATGATTTTAGCAATTGGACTTCGTTTATAATGCTACCAAAAGACATGTTGACGAATTATATAAAGCTGCCAACGAATACGGTGAAAAAGTGGACAGATATTACATAGAACGCTACTTGGCCGACAACTTATCCAAATACAATGGACTAACCATTTATAGGGTGCAGGATGTAGTAGATGACTTGCCGCCAGGTACGACAAATGTTAATAGTAATTTAGTAATAGACATGATAAAATAATATTTATGTGAAATATGAAAGCTAATAATTAATTTGATGTTTTCTTTTAATTATTATCGGTAGGTAGTGTTTTTTTTTTTACAATATTTTTGAGGAGTCTTAGACGGCTTTTGATAATACCCGTTATGGTCAAATATTGTACTTAATAATGTGATAATAATAACTGCAACCAATCAACTCGTTACAGTATAATTTAGTTTGGTAAATTGTAATGTGAATACTTTTATAATGATTTCTAGCTAAACATTTGATGTCGAAAAGTGAATTTAAAGATGAATTTGATTATGGTTTGTTCACTTCACGAGGATAATGGACGCTACAACAGCATCCTTTGGCGTATTTAAAATTTTTCCGTTATATGGCAAGTGATTTTTTGTATCTTTATAACATATAGTATCAACTTATAGTTTCTTTTGTATGTGATAAATAAAAATAAAAATAAATA